GTGGTCAGCATAGAACAGCTTGGGACTTCGCAGCTCCTCACGCCCGTAGATGTCTTGGTCAAAGGGGTTGCCCTCTGTGTCCCACTCAAAGGCAGTGGCATGGAACACACTGGCCAGGTACAGGTCCTTCTTGCCAGACATGCGTGATAAGTCTGCCTTGTTCTTGTCAATGGCCTCCGTCAGGCCCAGTCCAGCCAGATGTTTCTGTGGGAGCAGGTGCTGAGTGAGGTCACATGTTCCAGGCTCTCACACCCTTGTCCTCCATCTACACCATCCTGGAGGCTTCTCCAAAAGGAGACAGCCTTGCTCCAGGCATGGTGTTAGACACTTCAAACCACCGTTCTCTTCACGACCCTGTACACCACTGGGATCTGTACACCCTTCCCATTAGCTTTGTTAACTTGACACAGTCTAGAGTTATCTGAGAGGAAAGCCATCAAAGAGGAATTGTCCAAGATCAGATTGGCCTGTAGGCATATCTGTAGGGGGATTTTCTTAAAAGGGTTGAGCCCATTATGGGCAGCAGCTGCATAGGGACAACACCTAGGAGCTGTTCAATTGTTTTCAGCTGCTACCCATACCATCCTCCCAAGGACAGAGTCCACGTCTCCCCCCAGCGTTAGCAGAGCCCAGCACTACCTGGATGACCTGTGGACGCAGGATGGACCTGCTGAGCAATTAGGTGAAGCCTGCCCTAGCCCTTCCCCGCCAGCCCTCACCTGCAGGTCATGGGTCACTTCCACCACTCCCTTGGGCAGAGAGATGGCGACAGCCTTCTTCTGCATCTTCCCCATCCAGGCCTTCAACTGCTCTTTGGTCAGCAGCTTCTCCAGGCGCTCCAGGGGCTCCACATGGTGGGGCATGAGGATGATGAGGCTGGAGAGCTTGTGGGCCAGGGGCATCTCCAAGATCTGCAGCTTCTCCTTCTCGTCATCGTAGTAGTTGTAGAGGCCTGTGTGAAAAGCAGAGGATGCTGAGCAGACTGGGGGGCACCCTGGGACCCCACACCTTGACTGTCTGTCTGGCCAGAGGCCTACCTGTCCGGTGCATCATTGTAACACCCACAGTATAGGAGCGAGTCACCATGAAGCCACGGTTGTCCACCATCTTGTGATGAAATTTCTCATCCCAGTGTGCTATGGCAGAGAAACAGAACAAAGTCAGTGGGCTGTGTCCCCCAGGCCACAGCCAGTGTCCCCCAGGCCACAGCCATCCCAACAGTGCACCCTAGACTCTATCCAAGCCTCCTGTTCTTTGCTCCCTCAAGTGTCACAAATCCTTAGTCCACTGAATACATGTTCCCTGTCTGAGCATGCAGGTCTCTCTGATCTCATTGCAAGAAGCTCGTGTCCCACGTTTGGGTGGCATCTGTCAGTGTCTGGGAAACTTGCTGAGGCAGGCTTTCTTTCCTACTGAGTAATTGAGGTAGGGTCTGTCCCTTAAGCAGGAGTAAGCAAAGACCACCCTTAATTCTCCACAAGTTCAAGGCTGAACAGTTTGATGACCCAGTGAGGACCTTGATTTGGTTCCCAGCACCCACATGGAGGCTCACAATCACTCATAATTCCACTACGGTCATGGCACACATAAACTTATGCAGGTACATACATATAAAAATAGTAAGTAGTCGGTTAAAAAATTTTCTTTCTTTGTGTTCTGTGTGGCCAGAAAGGTAACCAAAAGTGGATGCATGACAGCGGTTCAAGTTCCAACCAGACCTACAGCCCAATCCAGCAGACTAATGATAATTAGACTTTTTATCTAGCTTGGCCTATTTACCTTCACCTGCCAGCAAGCTCTTAGGTCAGTCTCCGTATCTGGATACTCACACAAAACCACGAGCCCCAGATCTGACCTTCAGCCAATTCAGATGTACTTGGTTCTGGTCTTTTTCCTCCTAATTGGACCTCAGTCTCCTTAACTGTGAGTCGGGTCTAAGCCTGCATCTGTGGCTCCTTAATTCCTTCTGTTGAAGCAGAACTGATTACTGAGTCTTAGATGTTCCAACTTACACAGTGCAATCCTACCCTAGAGAGTCCTGCCTGGAGATTGGGAAGCAAGCGGTCCCTCTCCCCTCACCCCAATCCTGAGACTCACGCTTAAAGAACATGGCATTGACGAGCAGTGCCCCGTCCGTGCGCTCCACGTCCTTGGTGACCTCTGGCAGCTTGCCGTCGGTGGTCTGTGAGGCCCACTCGTTGATGGACTGCAGGGCGCTGCGCTTGTCTCGGAAGTTGATTTTGGAGTGCTCACAGTTGTAGTGCTGCTTACTGCTATGCACGAAGTCATCGGCGAAGTTCACGGAGCTGGGCCCGTACAGGCGGCTGCCCAGCTTCCAGGTCACATTGCGAGCAGTGGAGTTACTGAGGGAGCGCAGCAGCTCACCCAGCCCTGTGTGCACCTCCTCATCCCGCAGCTTCTCGGCGCTTAGCACCGCCTTCGCCTGCGATGCCGTGGTGGCTTTACCGCCCAGGGACACAAGACCCAGGGATGAGGCCACCACCAAGGGTGACAGGAGGATGTTCTCCACCGCCTGGTCTTTGGCCATAGCCTGGTACAGGCTGAAGGCCAGGCCTGTGCTGCGCTCTGCCAGGGTGGTGGCCTTGGAACTCAGCTTCTCTGCAGTACCAGGGGCTGCGGCCTCTACAGGTTTCTTCACCTCGGCTGCCAGGGCCACTGCCCAGAGGCAGAAGAAGGCCAGAAGCAGAGAACGCATGGCTGGGAGGTGGGCTGTGTGCACCACAGAGGACCTGTGAGGGGAACAGAGAGAGAGCCACCCTGAGATTTATGCCTTTCTCCCTAGCCTATCCACCAAGCTAGTAAGGGGACATGGCCAAGAGAACTTGGCTGTGTAGCCCAGGCCTGACTCAGGGCCACCCTGTCTCTCAGAGGCCTTCCTTGACCTCCTTGACCTAAAAAAAAGTTCCCGGCACATTACCAGGCCACCTACTTATACTTATTTATGAGTTTATTATGAATCTATAGCTGCCCTGAAGTAGGCTGTAGCCACTAGAGCTGGAAACCTAGCCTATCTAGCGCCCTACAACAGCCCAACGCCTAGCATTTGGCATCGCTGTTTCCAAGGGTCAGAGCCACCTGGCCAGAATGGCACCCTCATTTGCTTTTGTGAAGTCCAGTTCGGTCTCCTACTGCCTCAGGGCCCTTGTCAGCTGGGGAAATGCAGCAGCTGGGCTGGGGGCCTGCAGGAAGCCCACATGTCCCAGCAGAGGATGCCATGTGAGATGGAGCTGAGGGCCTGGCCCTCTCTGCGCCTTGCAGTCTGCCCTGGGACATTAATAAATCACTGATTGGTTCACTCATTAAATGGGGGCACCCGGATGTTCCACTCTGCAGCCCTTAGGGTGACCTTGAGTGTGTATATGAATGAGCTACCATCCAGCCTCAGACTCTTCCCTCAGCAGTAAGGGTCTAGGTCTCCCCATATCAAAGACCTCTCTCTTAGCAGGGACTTGACCTGTCCATCTGCCCACACAGCCCTTGAACCAGTTGGGAAATCCCAAGACAAACACTCTTGGGACCGGGTCTTTAGAAACTTGAAAGGGGTTTCCTAGGATCACAGCAAGGGCAAGAGGAAAGGGGTGAGTCACTGCTCAGTGGAGCACCGACCCTTTCCCTGCATCCTTCAGGAAGCCAGAGCCACAAATCCCATGTTGCGCTCCCGTGGGACAGCCATGGCCACATCACCATCTGTTCTAGAACCTCAAAGATGCCTGCAAGCTCCCTCCCCAAACTCCAGCAGTAGCAAGCGTCCCCAAGACAAGCCCCAGATCACAGAAGTGTCCACTCCCACATCCTCTTCAGCTTGTTGCTCCCCCCTGTTCTTCATGCAGCAGTTCAGGCGAGAAGACCACGAGGCAGAAAAAAGATCAGAAAGAACCCTGGTGAAGGGTGGGCTGCCCCTGCTCTGGAAGACCCCTTTCATAGTCTTCTAGGAAGAAAGAACATTCCAAACTCTGCTGGAAGACCCTCGAGAGCCTGAAAGAGTATGGGGTTTCTGAGACGACGCTAAGCTAGCCAGGCCAGCCCCCACCTCCCCAGCTGCTTCCCTTTTAGGGACCTTGAAGGAACAAGGCAAAGGGACTGGAGGGGAAGAGGGGATGGAGGGCACAGTTGCTTGGGGGATGATGCGAGACCTCGTTCTTAAGAGAGGTGGGGTCCTCATGTCCAGACTAGGCTCCTCCCTCTTAGACCTCGACGACTGGGTGACCACGTAATTCATTGCGTTCTAAAAAATACTTATGAGAGTAAAATTAAGCATCCTGGATCAGATCACAGCAACAGACACGTGGCCACCCTACTCAAAGGACCACTAGTCCAGCAGAGGCCACCGGCCTGTCTAAGGAAGGGGAAGAGAAGCCCAGCCCTGACACGTGGCAGCCACCATCTTGACAGCCCCCACGCCCCGCCAACCAGGACCTGGGAGGGGCTTCTCCAGAAAGCTCCAAATGACTGGTTTGAGATTCCTCAGGCAGCCGCAAGGCTCCTGGTGACGACGTGGCAGGCAGGAGTTGCCTTCTCTCTGTAGGCTGGCAGAGAGGAAGAAAACTGGAACCCTGGCTTGGGAACCAGGGGTGCTGAGGAACTGCCTGGAGAATCCAGGAGCCTCCTGGACTTTAGTTTGACGTCTGCACCTGAGAAGTCTGAGGGGAGAGGCAGCTCTGGGGAGAAAGGCCACCCTGGTAAACCGGCATTGGGAATGAAAGTAGGCAAGTCTCTGCAAGCAAGCCAGCTCCCTCAACCCTGCCCGTGCGCCTCAGCTAAATGCCAGCCCTCGGGTCAGGGTTAGACAATTTACAGTCCCATATGAAAAAAACAAAACCAAGATACGGGAGAGCCAAGGGCTACACCCACCACCGGCCCTGGGAGCCTGTGACGGGGGAGTAGGGGAACAGATGCCAGGAGGCAGGGGACAACACCAAGGAATTTCTCAGTTACTTGAAGGGTCTAAAGTACCTTGGAACTGCCTCAGGGGGAGATCACTGCCTGCCTTTTTCATTCTGAAAGAAAACAGAAGAGTAAAGGGATGGGACCCCGTAGAGATGTGGGGAGCGGAGGCCTATCTGGCCCAGTCCCAAAGGATACCCGGAGTATCGAGTTGGGTACTGCAGTGGTGGATTCTGCACAGGGAGAAAGCTAGGCCCAGCTCGGGCCTCCTCAGCTCAAGTAGGTCAGAATTCCTAGCGAGGGGCCTCTGCCCTCGGCAAAGCTCTCCACCGACCACTGTGGTATCCTGTTACTCGTTCTCTGCAACCCACCACAAAAAAAAATCTCTGCAGGGAATCCTGAGACCAGACAAAGGACCAGACAGGAATGGGGGATGGGTACAGGAACTATCTGAGAGCAGAAGGGTGTGGCCTCGTCCGACTTCCAGGCAGTCAAAGCCCCCAGTTTTTCCACGGGCCTCCATCCGGGCCTTGGAGCCCAGAGGGCCCTGCAGGAAATACGGGAAGTGGAGAGCTAGGCCTTTAGACCAAACCGGGAATGCCTTCTTCCTTTCGTCTGGAGGCTCAGAAATGTCCCCAAGTTGGAGGCTGGATACCTCGGGCCACAGAGGAAGTCCTCACCCTGCAGGAGTTAGATGGCTGGACAGAACAACCAAGGTGACTGAAATCACCCGGGACCTGGTGGGCCCTGATGACTCCCCTTGCGGGTGGGGTGGAAGCAGTGCTGGTCAAATCCAGCCATCAGTCACCTTCTAGGATGCTAATTAAAAACTGACTGCTCCGCAAAGCATGGGGGTCCCTAAAGCTAGGGACTCCCACTCCGGGTCAAGAGAACCAAGGCTACGGCATCCCTTGTGCTAAGCGCAGAGGCCCCTACGCGGCCTGGGGGGAGAGGGAACGAGACTAGACTGGGATCAACAACTGCGGGTCCCTGGGCCTTCACCCTAGAGCTGTCCCTTCCCCATGGACGATGGGAGAATCGGGTCTCCCCCTTTCTCTGCTGTGCAGAAAGTCATCTCTGCGCTGGATTCCAGCTCCACTCCGTCCCTGCCACCACCTTTACCCTTCCCTGAGCTGCTGGGACTCCTCCCGTTCGTCCGCACATCAGACTACAGCTTGATGTTTAACCTGGCTCCAAACGGGACTGCTCCGTGTCCGATCTTTCACTGCCCCCCAAGTGCCAGGACCCCAGGCATTTGGACTGGGCCCCAGCCCCTTCGGGAGCGATCATTCCCCCCTTGGCCAAATAGCCCAGCCGCCCCTGTCCCTCACCTGGGCCGGGCTGGACTGCTCCGGGACCGACGGGACACTCGCTCTCAGACAGGCTCTGCTCAACTCACTGCCCCGGGCCGGGATCTATATATGGCTGTCTCCACCCCCCTCCTGCTTGTCCTAAGAAACTTCTGGAAAGTTGGAAACGCTTCCGGAGAGCGCTGTGGCTCCCAGAGTGGAAAAAAAAAAGCCAAAGACCTCCCCCAAAACCGCCCTGGCTCCCGCCCCTGTGCCTGCGGGCGCTCTCCCAGCCCCTGGGTCCTACTGCCCCCTCGTCCGGCTGGGTTGGGGGCGTTGCTCCTTAAAGCCTGGACATCCTTGGACTCTTGAGATCCTGCAAGTGGGAGAGCAGGGTAGACTACAGGGTGAGCTGAAAATCAGACTGGTCCAAAGTTCTGCTCCCAGGGACTGGAGTCCCCTTTTCAGGTTGTCCACGCAGCCTGCTCTGGTCACACACCCCTTGTGCCACACATTTCTCTGATCTGCCCCCAGTGCATCCATTGCCCACTGTTGGCAAGCTTTAATTAGGGACTCCTTAGTCGGAGCCCCTCTCCTTTGCCTTAGGAGAGAGAGTCGGACGGACGCAGGGGTCAGTGCCCTTCTGCAGTCCCGGGTTCACCCTTGAAACCTCCCTGGGGAGGAGAAGGCCCGAGAGTTCCAGCTGGATCCACACCCTGGAAGCCAAGTCTTGAGGTGATTTCAGAGACAGGCACCTAGGCAGTTCCCCCAGAAATGAAGAGGTATGAGGGTATGTTAAGTTCAATGTTGTATGACGTTCTTTTTCTGGGCTAGCGCCCTTGAGTGAAACATGATGTTGTCATCGCTGCCCACCCCTGCATTCCCTCTTAGGGCTTGGGGACTCACAGTTAGCTCTCCCACCGCTCTCCCACCCTGCCCCACCCCACCCTCCCACACTGATAGCCTCTTGAGCTCTGAGTTAACCCATAGTATTCTTTACTGCTCTAGGTATTGTGAACCAAGCTGCACACCGGGCAAAGTCCCTACCCTCGGGGATGTCCTTTCTGAGGGGTGTGTGCTGTTAGTAGAGAATTCAGTAGGTGAGGCTGGTTGTTTGGAGATAGTGACATAATGGACAACAGACACAATGGGCCTGCAGAGGAGAGGAGGGGATGAGGTGGAGAGGCCTTTTTTCCCCTCGGTTCAACATATTGGGGGTCAAACTCAGGGCCTCAAGAAAGTTAGGAAAACATTCTGCCACTGAGCTACACCCTAGCCCGGAGATCCTGTATTCACTCACTCTCTCATCCATTCAATCAATAGACTCCTATTTATCTTCTTTCTCCCAGATTCAGGACTAGAGCCTGGGGACTAGGTGAATTCTTGCGCCCAGTACTCCAAAAGATGATTCCCTGGAGTGTTGGCATCAAACAATTACAGGGAACAGTAGAGGAGTGTTTGGATACCCCCACCCAGCCGCTCTACAGAGGCCTGGCTATTGCTGCCCAGCCTTTTGCTCTAAGAGCTGAAGGAAACATAAATCCCAATAGGTTTAGACCCTAATCAAAGAGTCAGAGGGTATATGAATGCTCAAGTGACCACGGATGATAATCTTATACTGAAGCCCCACAAAGTCTTTGAACCTAGTGAAGGAATCTTAGCCTGTCAGAACCTCAGTGAGAAGACCTTAGAAGGAAAATACCAAAACAATCATGGTGTCAGGCCTTGTGTCACATGCCTGAAGTCCCAGGACTCTGGAGGCAGAAAGTAGGAGGGTAGCAAGTTCGAGGTTAGCTTATGCTGAAGGCTTAGGACTTACTTCTGCAAACCTAGCATTCTCCAGAACGTACCCCAAAGGCAACCACCTACCTCCCTCTAAGCACAGTGACTGGGTTGTCTTTGGGCAGCCCACTATTGTTTTATAGAATAGATCTGATCTTTTGCAAACTTTCCAGGCCCAGGGTGATGTCCCTCTCTTCATGGTGTCTGTCCAGGGCCTTTGCATACACTGTGTACTGCTTATAAGGACAAATCTTTGCAATGTAAGGATCCCACCTAAGTCCCAGACCCCCTCTTTATTATCATCCTCATTTTGCCTGTTGGGGTCTTTTGGAACTCAACTGGTAGGACATGAGCTGAGGCAGCAAGAGAAAACTCATCAAAGCTGGTGGGGTGTAGTGGAGTCTTGCTGGGTTTCCAACAGGCCCACTGTGAGACTCCCATACAACCCCATCCCCCCTTTTCTCTGTCCCCCACCTCTCAGCACCCAGACCTCACTAGCATTGGAACAGACGCTGAGAGGGTTATGACTTTCCCAATCAGCAGAAGATAAACTGAAGCATGTTGTGTTAGACAAATCCAGAACCTAGTAGGAGTAGGAGATAAAAAGAGAGGAAAGCGGGTGCTGGAGAGATGGCTCAGCGGTTAAGAGCACTGACTGTTCTTCCAGAGGTCCTGAGTTCAATTCCCGGCAACCACATGGTGGCTCACAACCACCTTGAATGAGATCTGGTGGCCTCTGCTGGCATGCAGGCAGAAGACTGTATACACAATAAATAAAAATTAAAAAAAAAAGAGAGGAAAGCCCCCCATTTACCAACAGTGAAGCTGAACCCTAGAGTAGGGTGTGAAGTTGGGACCTGCAGCTTCACACACCCTGTGTAACTCCTCCTCTAAGCCTGTCTGAATGCAATGCCTGCCTGAGTGGCCACATTATCACACCCTGATTGTCAGTGAATGTCACTGGGGACTTTGGGAGGGCGGGAGAGGCCTCACCCTTCTCCCCCTGTGTCCCTAGGGTCTGGCATTACAAAAGGTGCTGGGTAAAAATCATAGCCATGCCATCGAGGGACACGTGGGAAGCAGCTAACTCAATCTCCTTACGAAAGAAAGGCCATGGCTCCTTTAAATTTCCAACATCAGCAAAAAAATGTTAAGAGTCTTTGCCACATTATTCTTAGCTCTGAGCCCAGCCCAGACACTGGAGGCCCTTCCCCCACACTCCAGGCAGCCTGTTTGAAAAAGGCCTCTTTTTGAAGGAGTGGGAGGAGACTCAAACAGGTCTAGAAACTCTCAAATCTGGGTTCCTCCATTGCTTGCAACTCTGCTCCTGCTACCCTGCCCTGCCCTGAGTGCAGGGGCCCAGCTTGACCCAATTAAGGTCCAGGAGCAAGGCAATAGGAAACAGAACACCTTCCAGCCCAGCTACATCCATACTTGCCAGAAAGGGTCGAGTATTTGCTTAGGGTCACACAGAACATCTGAATTGTAGATCATGCCCTGAGCCCTTTTCCTCGATACCACCCACCACCCCTTTTTCTGATCATCTCTTAAGCTGGGCACAGTTTGGCCAGAGATTGTAGAAATAGCTTCCTTTGGCCCCTGTGACTAGATTCAGTCTTCACGCCCATGGTCCTTGGACTCTTAGGACAGAAGCTAGCTTGTCATTTAAGTGTCCACACTGCCCACAGCTTCCATCCTATCTGATCCTTCCAGAAAGTGAAAATGTTCCCATTTTAAGCATAGCCTGGGAGAAGCGGGTTGGGGAGTGACCAGCATTGTCAAGGCTCACAGCAAGCAGGGAAGGTAAGAGCGGAGCAGGACAAATGATCAGTAACTGTGTGTCTGTCCCAGACCCTGGGACAGTCCCCTCTGGCTGTTCCAATTTAGAACAGGAAGTACAATCCCTTTTTTCATTTGGAGAAAGGCTTGACAGCCAACCGAAGCTGCCCTCTTTGGAGACAGGGCCCACAGGCAGCCACTCTGTGACAGTTGTCCAGATGCCAAGTGAGCTCTCATCCCAGGCATGAGTCAGGATTTCTGTAATCTCTACCTCTCCCAAGAATGCCTTCCATCTAAGGGGGCTGTGCTGCTGGCTCTCAGGAGGGAGAGAGAAGTGCAGGGCCAGTGAGGACCAGGGAGCTCCCTCCCCTTCCTCCAAGAGCAGCCCCACCCCCAGCCATCTAGAACTGCTCTGGAACTCCAGTGCCCTCACCCACACCCTAGACACAGTAGCCAAAGACCCAAGCCCACTGAGTGCCACAGAGACATATGTGTATGCACATGGCTAGGATGCATGCACTACATGAGATATACATGTGTGCCTACCTGGTCTTGGAAGAGGCACCCTGCCTCTTCCTCAGCTTTCCTCTGTCCCCTTCTGGCTTTTTCATGCAGGGAAAGGCCAGGCCTTCGGGGCTCATAAGATTGGACATTGTGATTAACACTGTCCTGTCATTTCTCCTCCCTCTCCTTTCTCCCAGGTGTCGTACATGATGACTAGGTTGGCAGCAGAATTGTCCTCCTTGTCATAGCATCTCTAATCCTCAGAAATGAGCTATGGCCTGTGCCCGACCCACTTCCCAGCTCTAGTGTGCTTCAACTTGGTGCAGCACCTTAGTGATACCCAATACAGGGCCCTGGAACCTCACCCTGGCTCTGCCACTGTTTGGCTAGGTGCCCATGATCAGCCTTGTTTCCTTCACTAAAAAGCCTAGGTCAGAATCTCCAGTTCACACCCTGCTCACCCCTCACAGGCTGTGACCCCGATCTCCCTGAGGAAATACTGTTGACCTTTCCTTCTCTGTCTTCTGAATGTTTTGCAAGTATGTGTTTGCAGGAATGTGGGCACACACCACACACACACACAAATGCACGCACGCGCGCGCACACACGGAGGCACAGCTAACCAAAGTTGTAGTTAGAATGGAGACTCCCCTTGGAGGCAGAGGCAGAGAATGGCTGCCTAGCCAAGGAGACAGGATGTCTGGGTCAAGATCTACCACCTCCTTCACCCCCACAGATGACCTATAGAGAGCCTCCAACATGGCAGTTCTCAACTTGTGGGGTCTTGACACCTTTAGGAGATCACAGGGGTGATATATCAACTATCCTGCACATCAGACATTTACATCACGTTTAGTAGCAGTAGCAAAATTACAGTTATGAAGTAGCAATGAAAATAACTTTATGGTTGGGGTCACCACAACATAAGGAACCGTATTGAAAGTTGCAGCATTGGGAACCTCTGCAGCTCAATGCCAGCTTCTCACCTTATGGTCTGGATGGGTTTTAACAGAGAAGGAAGCTCATACACATTTCTGGCAGGAGGAGAAATCAGCATCTTTGCAACTGGTAGATTGTAGCTCAGTGACACAGCTCTCACCTAACAAGGACCTTGGTTTAATCCTTAGCAAAGGAAGAAAGGGAGGGGCAGAAATGAAGAAAATATCAAAGAAAAGAAGATTTTGCTGTAGACAGAGACAGCATTTACTTTAGTGGCGCACACCTTTAATCCCAGCACTAGGGAGGCACAGGGAGGTGGATCTCTGTGAGTTCTAGGCCAGCCTGGTCTACAGAGTGAGTTCCAGGACAGCCTCCAAAGCTATACATCGAAACCCTGTCTGGGAGGGGGGAGATAAAATAAAACAAAGGTGGAACAGGAAAGTGAGTACAGGACACTCCCTTGATCCTGCATGGGGGCCATCCCTGAAGGTCACTGGAAAGCACTGACTTATCAATGACCATCTCTGCAGAGAACTGAATGGCAGGCAGAGTGGAAGGCTTGTCTCTCACTAGCTGTGAGTTAGGGACTGTGTGAATGTTTCACCTATCCATACACTTGGAATGTGTGAACTGACTTGTGTTCCTTGGGGAAAGACTCCACTATTAGGAATTGATTGTATGGAAATGAATTTTAGATATATACAAATATGCCTGGGACTTATTTTTTTGTTTATTTTTTGTTTTTTTGAGACAGGGTTTCTCTGTGGCTTTGGAGGCTGTCCTGGAACTTGCTCTGTAGACCAGGCTGACCTTGAACTCACAGAGATCTGCCTGCCTCTGCCTCCCGAGTGCTGGGATTAAAGGTGTGCACCACCAACGCCCGGCCCCTGGGACTTATTTTTTAAAATGTCCATCAAAGCCTTTTTGTAGTGGCTAAAATTGGAAACAAAGATGAGCCTGGTGTGCACACTTTGGAACCCAGAAGTTAGGAGGAAGAGACAGGCAGAGTTCTGCTAGTTCAAGGCCAGATCAATCTACATGGTGTGTTCCAGAACAACTAGAGCTACACAGTGAAACCCTGTCTAAAACAGACAAACAGATTGGAGACAAAGTCAGTAAGGAGTAGAGTATTGGCAATGTCATAACCAGACAGAGCTCTTCTAACCCCAGCTTGGTGGTTTGGTGGTTAAAAAATAAAGCCGTTTATAAAACAGCATGCTTATGAACATCCTTTGTCCAGAGGTAGATATATTGAAAGGCATGTTCATATGTCACAAAAAAACCAACTTTAGCTGTTGTGTGATTTCCAGTTGGTTTTAAAAGTGCTTTTTCTAGTTAAAGGTCTGAGTTCATTTACTTTTGCTTGTTTGTTTTGAGTCAGGGTCTCTCTTATAGCCCTGGCTGGTCTGGAACTCATAATGTAGACCAGGTTGGCCTTAAATGTAGATATCTGCCTGCCCTGTCTCCTGAGTGCTGGAATCAAAAGTGTGTGTCACCACACCCAGCCTTGTGAGTTTGTTTTCTCTTTAATGAGTGTATATTGCAAGCAATTAATGAAACTTATTTACATATATACATGCATACATACATACGAATGTGTATAGCATTCACAAAGAAAGGCTCAGAAGAAATAGTCTTAAGTGGGTTAGTACTGTCTCTGGAGATAAATGTGCATCATCTCTTTTTCCTTTTTCTGTTCTGGATGTTTTCCAACAGCATGAACTGTATGATCACCTCAAAATACCAACAAAGTAAATAAAAAATAAAAAACAGGCAATGGGAGGCCATGCTTTAGCTTAAAGAGGTCCTGGGATATTGGGGGGGGGGGAGTGCCAGAGAAACCTCTGGCCTTCGGAGACCCTTAGAATGGGACTACTTCACTGTAGCCCTGGTGACCACTGCAGCCCTGGTGGCTGATGCAGGTCCTTCTAGCCAGAGCTGCCTTTTCCTGTGAGCCCAGACTACAGCATGGAGGGGGCAGGGGTCTGTGTTGGGGAGCTATTACAGGATATCACAGAGAAGACTCAGGAGCCCAAAGCAAGAGCCTGGAACCTT